GATAGCTAAAGGATAATCCAAGTTATTAAGAGAGCAAAATATCATCTCCTAAGTTGCATCTAGAGAAGTTAAACTTTTAAGACGGGTGAGCTGTCATGTAAAAATCTTTGAAATTGTATAATATTTTAAATATACAATAAAGATAAGCCATGTCAGCCTGACGGCAGATTAAAAAAATATATATATATATATATACAATATATATTTTTAAAAACATATATTAGTCAGTTTATTTGATTCCATAGTAGTGATCTATAGGCAATGATATTAAGAGTTGAAAGGGTTTTCACTTAAACTCCTAATGAAACAATAAATCACTCCCAAAGTTGTACTTAGAGTAGTAATTATAAAGACGAATGAGCTAATTAGCATTTTTTAGCTTTAACGATTCATATTATATGTATGGTTTACAAATGTTTAATAAAGTATACATAACTAGTCTGACAGAGGATTAAAAAAAAAATTAATTGTAAATAATAAAACTGCTTGCAATATATTAGGCAAATATATCATAGCTAAACTAAATCTCATGTCGATTCATTTATCAATGGCTTTCAATTCTCAGAAGAGCTTCAGCCTCTAAGTACAACCTTAGGAACAATATTTTGCTTCAAGATAAGTTTTGGATAAAGACACTTTCAACTTACCTATCATTACTAACAGGTTATCACTACCAATTATTCTCCAAGGAACTGATTTTGGAAACTATAATAGGAAAAAGAAAAAATAAAAGGAAAGAATATATCTAAAAGTATACAATTGTATATATATAAAGAGAAAAATAAAAATAAAAATAAAACTACTTCATGTCCTTCAAAGGATCTTTACTAAAGACCTCCTCTCATTAGAAGTCAACCTTTTTGAAATATTCTTCTTCTTTCTGACTATCTAAAAAACTTATTTATTTGTGATCTTAATTATTTTCTTGTGACTGTCTAAGGTACTTATTGTCTACTCAGATCTAGTTCTTGCTTGTCATTTCCTTTCTTTCAATATTGATTTTTTATCCACTTGCACCAAGCAATAACTTATAATAGATCCCAGATTATTATGTAATCTTTCAGTTATATTGTATAACTATCAATATCTTTTAGCAGCCACATCTAGTTAAAGAAATTTTACTGGTATATATCTTCCATTACTCAAAAAAAATCATTTCCCAAGAATCTTTTTGCCTTATAATAGTTGGAGGGTTCCAAAAGAGTAGTGAGAATTCTTATTAATTATAATATTATTACACAATATTTAGAAAAATGCACTCTCTATTTTAGAGAAGGGCAGTGACTCACAGTCTTCTGCTTTTCAGTTTTATTGTCTAACTAGGATAAGGAAATAACCTTCTTTATATATTTTTCCTGACTGGGATAATTGGAAATTGAAGACCTTAGCTTAAACAAATAACTATTTTTTTATCACCTAAGGAATTTGGTACCTATCCTAATAGTCTCATAGTTTTTTTTGTTTCAACTATACTTCATTTGGAGAAGTGAATAATTGTATATCAATTAATTCTCTTTCATTTTACCAATGACATCATCAGAATATATGAATATGACATATGGAATTTTGTTTACATCTTGTTATTAATATGTTTCATATTAATTAATTAGAAGTCAGATGATGTTGTGCTATCAAAAATTCAGGGTCAAGCTGGGTTAGGCAAAATTTCTCCTAAAAACTATAAAAAAACAGTAAATATTTTAAGAGGGCAAGAGACAGTATGAGAAGGTGAATAATAAGCCTTCTCCTATTCAGAAAATTATTATTTTCATGTTATATTTAGCTTTGAAAGAAGATACTTTATAAGTTGATACTTTTACTTTCTAGAATCTTTTTGCCTTTAGTAAAGGACGTATGTACTTGAGTCTATTCAGGCCATAGAGGCTCAAGTTTTTATTTAAAGAAGTTTTTAAACAAGTAAAGGAGAGTAACAATAACTCTTGAAGACAAACTTTAAGTTGTTTTAAAAAAAGTAGGAAGATTTTATTAGTCAAGAAGAATAAATTCTTCTTATGAACATCTTTTTTATGTGTGATCAGAGGATCAGCAAAAAGAGTTTTTAGAAATATATAACTATAATATATATCATATTGTTTAAATAAAAAAATACTTATAGTTTTAATTGATTAATAAACTACAATTTAGCTTGACTACAAGTATTTAAAAATAATAATAATAAATATTAATAAGACAAGATTTTTATAATACTTTTTTTGCCAATTCTCTAATTATATACAAAAAAGATATTTGTACAAAGTTTTTCACTTCTTTATGAATAAAGTTTTATTATTTTCCTTAGAATAACTTGAAGTCTAACTTCAAAAATCATTTCTATTTATTTCTATTGTTTACAATCTTTTTTACTCAAAAATATGACTTCAAGAGATCAATAAAAATCAAGTAATACTTTTAATATCAATAATAAAAAATATTTTTAAAGAAAGAAGAACTGATTATAAAGTACTTGAAGGTCTTTCTAACCTTTGAAGTGAAAGGTTTATAGAGATTTTATTATAGTTAAAAGGCTTATTTTCTCACTTTTAAACTGTTTTAGCTTATTTAGAACTTCTACTTTTATAGTTTTTTAGGGAATTTTGTTTATCTTAGTTTAATCCTAAATTTTTGATAACACTAATATTTATTAAAAATAATTGACTGATATAAAGCATATTAGTTTTTGAAATGTAAAAAAAATTTTATTGATCATATTCATCTATTTGAATAATATTATTAATGCTAAGAAGAGTTGATTAGTACCCAGATTCTATATCACTCTTTTAATTAAATTAACTTACAGATCAAGTTCTATGGGGTCAATAAGATATAAACAACAAATTTTTAGATAGTGAAAAAGTTGTTATTTGTTTAAACTAAGGTTTTTTTTTTTTATTATTCTAGTTAGGCAAAATTCAAAACCAATATTTTTTTTTATTTTAGTTAAACAATAAGACTGATGGTCTTTAGTTCATGCTGAGCTTAAGCTTTGTAATTATAGTTAAAAATATATTTCTTAAAAGTTGTTAAAGAATATTATAATCAATAAGAATTCCTATATATGAACTTTCCTATTATTTCAAAGCAAAAAGGAGAATAAGGAATCAAACTTTTTAAATAATGAAAGATATTTAACAATAAAATTTCTTTAACTAGGTATAACTGTTGAAAATATCATATTGAAGCAATATGATTTCATTTTTATTGAATTATATAAGAATCTGAAGTTTATAATAAGTCATCTGTTCATTACAAATAAATAAAAAATCACTGTTCAAAGAAAGTTAGAACCAAGTATATTCTGGAAATAAAGGTTTTTACTAGGTAATAAGTTTCTTTAAATAGTATACAAAAAGGTAATTAAGATCAAAAATGAATAAATTTTTCAGATAGTTAGGAGAAGAAAGGATATTCCAATCAAATATTTCTTATTGAGAAGAAATCTTAAGAAGCAAGTCTTTGGAAAAAGCTAAAGAATTTTATTTTATTTTCATCTTCTTGTTTATCCATTTGAATATTTTTAAATATACTCCTTTCTTTTTTTTCAATCCATCCTTATGTAATTTCCTATATTCCAGTGACTTGATAGGACATATAGTAGTAACAATTTGCTAATAATAAAGTGATAGATTAGAAGGATCTTTACCCAAAGATCACTATAGAGCAAAATATTGTTCTCAAGATCAAACTTAGAAACTATTATTGTCTATGATAAGTTAGTTGGATTTGATAGTTATTTAGCTGTAATATACTATATATCATGTTGCTTGAATGGAAATGCACTTATATTTTAAATTGATTAATAAATTATGATCTAGCCTGACTGCGGGTACTCAAAAAAAAAATAATAATAAGACTTTAGCAATAATGAACCATTGACTATAATATCTTTAATTGAAATATTATATCTAGAATTAATTAATATTGATAGATATACTGTATGATAGAAACTTAAGTGAAGTATAAAACATAACATATATACTGCATAACTAACAAAGTAACCTTTTAAGCCAGATAGCGGGTAAAAAAAAAAAAAAAAAAAAAGATATTGATAAGAATATCTTATCTTATCAATAAATTGCTTATCAATTAAACTTTGCCTATTTCAGCCATCACTTGTTTTCGAATGGAATCTAAACTAGATTATCATCGGACTATTCCGGCACCAATATAATAATAACTCGAGTTTGCGGTCTTTTGGAAAGTAGCATTATGGGTAAAGAACGAGAATCAAGTAAAAACGCTAAAAGGTGAGCACAAAATTTAGCAGCCTAATATTTGCTCGCGTAAATGCAGGTAAATAATTTTATAAATATAAAGAGACGCAGGGTTAACTTTAACAGACAAAGTGTCTGGTGCGTCATGGGAATTGCAAACTCCAACGAAAGCTGACGGAAAGTCACTTGCACAGGCAACTTCGGTGGTAGTTTTACCCAGAAGGTAATGAATTTACGAGAAATTCTGCAACGCATTTAAGGATTTTCTGTGTACTAACCTTTAAATAGTTCAAATACTCAATCGCTTACTGTCTTGGATAATCGAACAAACAAGCTTTACGAAGTTCCTATCACCAACAATACTATTCCGGCAGTTAAATTTAAAGAAATGAGCGCAGATCCTAGGCCAGGAAGTCGCGAGGAGGATGAGAGTACCAAAGGATTGAGGTTCTTACATAATAATACAGTTAATGTTAACGGAAAGTTGGAATTCCGTTTTTAAGTTTTTGGCCATTCTACACGTTTCTGCTTACAGGGTATACGATCCAGGTAAATTATATAATATGAATGATCGGATGAATTTATTCACAAGCTTATTGACTGATTAATCAATTCAGCGTTTCAAAACACTGCTGTTTGCTACTCAAAAATAACCTATATTAATGGAGATTTAGGAATTCTTCGTTATCGGTAAGATTATCTATTGTAATACGTACTGAACATATAAAAATTAAGTCACATGTCAAGAGTTAATTTATATTTTAGTGGTTATCCGATCGAACAACTAGCGGAAAAATCAACATATCTTGAAGTTGCGTATCTCCTGATTTACGGAGAGCTTCCATCAAAAGAACAGCATGATAGTTTTGTTCACGAAGTGATGCATCATACATTTGTGCATTTTAATGTTGCGGAACTGATGCGAAATTTTAACTACGATGCACATCCTATGGGAATGTTTCTTAGTGGCATTTCAGCTTTGAGTACTTTTCATCCAGACGCAAACCCGGCTTTGGCTGTAAGACTAGTTATATTATTCGTTGTTAATTATTATTAACGGTTAAGTAAATACTTTTTGCCTCAATAAATAGGGATCAAATCTATTTATTCGCAATGAGACTGTTAGGAATAAGCAAATTTTAAGATTACTGGGTAAAACGCCAACTTTAGCAGCGTAAGTATTAGTATATTCTCGATCTTTTTTATAACTATGTTATATATTAATACAAGTATTATTTTAGAATGGCTTACCGTCATCGTATTGGCCGGTAAGAACGAATGTTCGTATTATTACGTCTTTAAATGTAATAATGAATGCTAATTTTTAACAACTTAACAGACGCTATAACGTTCCCCAGAATAATCTTTCGTATACCGAAAACTTCCTTTATATGCTTGATCGATTATCAGAAGAAAATTACAAACCAAACCCAAAGTTATCCAAGGCCCTCGATACTTTATTTATCTTACATGCTGGTATGTTTTAATTTATATTTGTTTGTTTTCTTGATCTATAACTAACGAACTCATTAAAATGCTTTTATATTTAGATCATGAGCTTAATTGTTCGACAGCAGCGATGCGACATATTGGTTCATCTCTCGTTGATCCGTATAGTGCTGTAGCAGGAGCAGCAGCAGCCTTATATGGACCACTTCATGGCGGTGCTAATGAAGCAGTATTGAGAATGTTGGAGGAAATTGGTTCTACCGAAAAAGTTCCACTTTTCTTGAATGAAGTGAAAGAAAGAAAAAGAAAATTATTTGGATTTGGTCATCGAGTTTACAAAAGTTATGATCCAAGAGCCAAAATTATTAGAAAAATAGCTTATGAAGTATATTCTATTCTATATTTCTATCTGGTTGCAATATAGAAATTATCTGTGTTAATCAAAATTTTTTTTTAGGTATTTGAAGTTTGCGGCCGCGAGTCACTTATTGATGTTGCGATAGAACTAGAGAAAAGAGCCTTAGAGGATGAATACTTTGTGAAAAGACAACTCTATCCTAATGTTGATTTTTATTCTGGTTTGATCTATAAAGCAATGGGCTTTCCAACAGACATGTTCCCGGTACTATTTGGTGAGACACTTAGGATTTATAATGTTAATAACTTCCAAAAGATCTGTATAAATAATGCGGTAAATTTATTCATTAGCAATTCCGAGAGTTGCGGGGTGGTTGGCTCATTGGAAAGAATCATTGGAAGATAAAGAGGCCAAAATTTGGCGCCCGAGGCAAGTTTATGTTGGACCAGGCGTTAGATCTTACATCCCCATGGAACTTCGAGAATCATCCGACAAAAATGTTATCAAAATTGATGTAATTATGAACTTTAAAATATTTCTTGGTTTTTATTTTATTAAAACATTACATAACTTAATTTAATACCTATATTATTAATAGCATCAATTCAGTAAGAGGAGTTCAGTCGCCTCTTTTGATAATGACAGTAAACCTTCATCGAAACTATAACAAACATAAAATGGTTATGTATTTTATTGGAGAAAACCCCCGAGCATCAAGGCTTTCCACGTCTAGCCTCTGTAGTCGTCTTAATTTATTTATTTAAATGTTCGGATTAATCATGGTATTATTTACACCTGTTGTTAATCAATTAATTAATAATTTGACTTTAATAGTGGTGTCGCTAATACTATAATTAATCTAATGCTTCTATAAATATCACATATAATGTATGATGAATCTAAATATTAGATTAAACTTTACCATCTTTTCTTGACTGGTGTGTGTGGTTCTTCTATATCTGGTTCAAACTTTGACTCATTATCTTCCTTCCATTCGGGTCTTGTATGGTGTCTAATATGAAGTTTACTTATTTTAGTATTGGAATATCTTGATCTGTATTGTGTGTTATCAGTTTTATAGATAGTTTCTATTAGACATATTATGTTTTAATATTAAGGGGTTTTGTTTTAATTTTTTATTATAGTGTTTTTTAATATTTCAAATAAAATTATATACTGTATATGGATAACACTAGTCGAAAAATATTTATTCAGCATAATGTCACTTGTGTAACATTTATTAAAAAAATAAATAAATCATCAATCAATAAATTATAAAAATTAATTCTTTTCGCTGATCCTTTGCTTATATACAAAAAAGATATTCACAAGCAATTTTTTATTTCTTTGCTAATAAAGTCTTAACACTATCCTTAAATCAACTTGAAATTTTACTTCAAGAGATACTCTCAAATATCCTCCATGTTTATATTCATTTTTAAACAAAAACTTGGTTTTTTGTGATCTAGAAAAGTCAAGAAACACCTTCTCTATTAATGACAAAAAAGTTTTGTAAGGAAGAAAAACCAATTGTGTAGTACTTGAAACTTTTTATATTGAAGCATGTCTATAAAAGTTTCTAGCAGTGAGAGGTAATGAGCATCAAGTCATATTTCAAGGTGTCTGCCTACTGTATCTTTTCTCTTATAGTTATTCAAAATTTTTTTGATTTTTTGAGGAATTTTGCCTATCTCAATTTAATCTTGAATTTTAGGTAACATAATCTATTGCAAAATATGATTGATGAATATGAAATATGTTAGTAGTTGAATGCAAACAAGTATCTATTAATCACTTTATATATTTCGATGATGTCATTGGTGAAAGAAAGAAAATTTATTGATATGCAATATTTCACTCTTTCAAATAAAATATAACTAGAACAAAAAAATTATAAAACCATTAGAATAGGCATTAAATTATCTAGATGGTGAAAATATGGTTATTTGTTCAAGCTGTGATCTTTAACTTTTTATTATCCTAGTTAGGTAAAGTACATAAAAAAGATTATTTCCTTATTCTAGTTAGGTAATAAAATTAAAAAGCAAAAGACTGTGAGCCATTACCTTTCTTTAGAATTGAAAATATATTTTCAAATATTGTATAATAATATCATAATTGATAAGAATCTTTATTACTTTGCAAGATCCTTTCACTATTGCAAGGCAAAAAGACTGTTGGAAAATCTAACTTTTTAGACAATGGAAGATGCTTATCAATAAAATTTATTTAATTAAATATAACTATTAGAAGATATTAGTAATTATATAATATAATTGAAAGATCATATAAGAATCTAGAATTTATCATAAGTCATTGCTTGATATAGATAGATATAAAATTAATATTGAAAGAAAAGAAATAATGAACAAGACACTGGATCTGAATAAACAATAAGTATCTTAGACAGTTGTAAAAAAATAATTAAGATCATAAATAGATAAGTTCCTCAGATGATCAAGAAGAAGAAAATATTTCAAAAGAATTAATTTCTAATAAGAGAAGATTTCTAGCAAAGATTTTTTGAAGGGTATGAAGCACTTTTACTTTTCTTTTATTTTTATTTTTTATATATATACATTTGTATATTTTTAGATAATCCTTTTTCTTTTATTTTTTCTTTTTCCTATTGTAGTTTTTTGAAATCAATTTTTGAAAGATAATAGATAGTAATAATCTGTTAGCAATAATAGGTAAGTTAAAAAGGTCTTTACTCAAAATTTATTTTAGAATAAAATATTGTTCCCAAGGTTACACTTAGAAGTTTAAGCTTATTTAAGATTTGAAAGCAGTTGACAAGTGAGTTAGCATGAGATTTAGTTTAGCCATGATATAATTGTCCAATATATTTCTATTAGTTTTTTTAAAAATTAATAAACACACTATACTGGTCTAACTATGGGTTCAAAAAAAAATAAAAAAAATAAATTGTCAATCAATTTCTACTATAATTTGGTATACTATAAATAAATCATCAATCAATTTTTACTATACAATTTAGTATTATTTATTATATAATTTATATTATTTTTATTATATATTTTATTAAAAATTTTCTTAAAAAATCATTAGATATTCATCAAAATTTCAATATTAACAAAATATATATATTTACTAAATTTTTAATTATATATTATACTGTATTTATGATTTAAAGAAATTATAGTTAAATATTTACAAGAGTTTTATTGATTTGAGATTCTATATATAAATAGAATAAATTGATTAAAAATATTATAAATAGGAATTATATATTTATGTCTAACTGAATAAAATTCAGTATTTTACAATTTACTATTCATGTCATTTTCAGATTCAAAATAAAATTTATTTTTTGTTAAATTAACCAGTTTATATCATCAAATAAAGATTAATAGATATTTAATAATATTATTTAGAAAGTTTATCAAATATATAAAGAAGAATTGAATATAAATTAATACTTTCATCATGATTCACAAATTAAACTAATATAAATAAACCTTTAATATTTTGTGAGAGTATAACAGAATTGAATATTTTACTTCCAATTTAGTATCTACTATATTGATATACTCTATTTTGAATAATTATTAAATTTTTATTATTTTTTATAAATAGTTATCAAAAGTTTATAGTTTCATAAGATAGTTTATATATTTGACTAATAGATCTAATATTTCAGTAGATATCTTTAAATTTTTTTTTTTTTTTGATACAAGAGTTCACCTAAAAAATATTCAGATCTATTGATAATTGTTTTGTAAATATTATATATAGTATATTATTTAAAATCGATATAACTCATCAGTTGAAAACTGATCTAGTTCAAAAATTTAATCAATATTTGATTAATTATTTAAAATTTCAAGTCTCTAATTATTAAAATAGAATATAGTTAGATTAATACAATAATTCAATAATTATTTATCAATTTTTATATTAATTTAAGTTCAATATTTTAATAATTATTAGGCAATAAACCTAGATTAAAAATTTATTAGAATCCTACTTCTGAATATTAAATTTGTTTAAAAACTTATTTAATATAATATATCATTTATTTTCTTAAATAAAAAGTATCAAAATATATACAATATAATGACTTATAATCAAATACAGATTCATATAAATATAATAAAAAATAAAAATTCAGAGTAATTTTTTTTTTTATAAGTGACTAAAAAAAATTAAATTAAAAAACTCTTTTCGTTGATCCACATTTTTTCAAAAAAATTTTCTTTTTTAGTAATTTTCTTGAAAAAATCACAAAAACTCTTATATAAAAACAAGCCTCAAAGGACATAACCATCTATTTCTAAGTAACAAAATTTATATTACAACAAACAAGAAAAGAGTTTCGCTCAGCTTGAAAGACTGATATTCCTAGGTTACTTTTGCTTTTAGAAAGAAGAAAAAGCAAGAATAAGCTGATTCACAGTAGGTTTCTTGAGACCCAACCTCAACTTCACAAAGCTCTTAGCTAGGCCAGTGCAGGTTAACACCTTTCTAGATACTAAGAGAAGTCTCAAAAGTAATAGATTATATTGATAAATTAGTACAACCTCAAAGCTAACTGAAACCCAGGAGGATGTCCAAGTCTCTTTGGTCAAATAGCTAAAAGATCACAACAACATAACAACTTCAGATCAACTATTTCACGATATGAAAACATGAACACGTTAACTTTTCATCTGATTGGCATGTATCAAAGCAAGTCAATCAATCTATAACAAAACAAGAGAATATGACAGATCAACAAACTAAAACATATGGGATCAACAGCACATGTTATCTAAAGTAAAATCAATGGTTGATCATAACCAGTTATATGTCAATAAACAAACACTGGATGGGTAAACACATAGAAGCCACGTGTCATAGACTTCCTAATATCAATATAACAACTTATTGCCATATATGCCAAATGGAAAAATAATACATAACAATATTTATCTAATCATGTGGTTAAAAAGACACTCATACAATAACAATACGTGTTAAATTCTTCATATCACATGTCAACATGTCAACAAAAGAACAAACAATAATCAAAATCCTAGAGAAAAGAGAAAAGGAGCTATTGAAAGTATTAGGAAAGATAACATCTCATCATGATCCTCAAAAAGCACTCTGGAAAACAAGAATGATACAGTATAAATTGAAATCAATAACTACTATTCAACCTCACATTCCTGCTAAATCAATACAGGTTTTCTTGATACTAGATAATATTATTGCCAATCTATTAAAAATAGATGTTTTAGTGATGGTAAAAGAATATATGCTCAGACAATATATTCTCTCTCTCTGGAAAAAGGTGCAAGATAAAAAGGAAGATTTGGAAGCATCTATGCTAGAAGAAAATATATACAATATGTTGACAAGCAAGCCAGTAATGCAAGCATCAAGCACTAATCAAGTTGAAATTTCTATGATGGAAAACACGCCCAATGGAAGTTCAATCAACTTTTATAGAACTCGAAGAAGCACACTCCAATAAGGAAGTCATAATGGAGGATAGAAAAGCGATGGAACAGATAGAACAAATAGAAACAGAAGTGTTAAAAGAAACAGTGCAAGGAAGCTATATTACAGATAGCATGTCTTATAATACAAGAAATAGAGTTCAA